TAGTTATTTTTATATATAATTTATCTATTTTTATATTGTTCTTTATATTAGTGAAAAATGAGTATATATGAATGCTACACAAATTATTTTAGATCTATAAAGAGTACCCATGGTGGGGAAGGCTGTGCTGTTTTAGGTAGCATCAGTGTCTGATCTGAAGGGCGAGGTTAGATCTTTTCAAAGAGGAACCTGAGTTTGAATAAAGTATTAAATAATGGAAAAGAATGGCATAGCCTTTAAAATTTTCTCTCTATTTCTGGACAAACTTCAAAGTGAAATAAATGCATGGTCTGGTTTCTGAGGCAAAGGGATGTACCCGTTCCTGGGCTCACCGACTAGCTGAAGGGTTTTGCTGTAGCCTTGCTTTCTGTGTAGCGGAAACACTGAGAAATACAATGCAGCTTAAGACGCTCTTTAGGCTGCTCCAGTTGGCACTGGAAGATGGTCTCAAACAACCATGGGGCACAGAAAAGGTCTTACCTTTGCTCCCCTGCATCCCGCGGGCAGTCTGCTCATCAGCGCTCCTTTCCTCGGTACAGCAACGAAGAACCAGCGGCCCCATGCCTGTCTTGCACAATTTCAGTTCTCCTTTGTTTTCTCTGTATTTCTAGCGCCCACTTCTTTTTCTCCACTCGGTTTGTTTCTTGCAACAGTCTCTTTCTGACTTTTTGCTGCTGGGCTTTCAGTTTCCCCTGCAGGTTCATTAAAGCTGCCTGCACGAACGCTGTGAAAAGATGCAAAACTCCTGCTGACCCTTTGAGTATCTCAAGGCAGGAACTAGCAAGAGAAGGGGAACTTGCACCCTCTCCCCCAGGCTCCATCCTACCCCGGCCATGTCCAGCAAACAGGGACTCACCTTGGCATGACCTTGTGAGCAAGAGGTCTCGGTGCAGTACCGGGCCCTTCACAGGACAGGAGGCTGTTCAAAGACAACGTAGTCGCTTGTACTTTGGATGCTGTTGGGATAAATTCTCATCCAAGCACAGTGAGATGTTTTTGCCACACGAAGTGAAGTATAGATTTCTAAACACTAAATTGCAGCACACTGTTAGAAGAAAACTGAGCAAGCTGACAGCTGGGCTTGCACTGGGAAGAAAATTTCAGAGAGGCTGTTGCCATGGGTTTGAGAGAGGCTGTTGCAGGCTCGGGGTGGTGGTGTGTGTCAGTAACTTAACTCGAGCATGACTGGGAAATTACATTTTGGCTCACTCGTGGAGTGACTTAGCAGCTCCGTGAGAGATAAACAAGTAATCTTCCCTTTCTCTGCCAATGGATGAGCTGGGGGGTTTCCCCATTTTTCCTCCCTACCACACTATTCCCATTCTCATTTCTTTAGTGACTATCATAAAGCGACAGTGGAAGCCAGTGATATCCCAGAGCAGCATCTGGAACAGTCCTTTCTCTTCAGGGAAAAACAGAGTCTAAACTGGGCTGCAGACTGTGAGCTGCATCGATGCATTTAGCAGTGCAAGGTTAGAGGAACTGCTGTGTTGGACCCACGACATGACACGACACTCCCAGGTCTCTTCCCCCTCATCCCTTTCACTTTCTTCTTCACTTCCTCCTCTCCTTCCTCTTCCCCTTTTCTTTCCTCATCCCCTTCCCCTTCCCTGGTGAGGACAATGCTGAACAAAGAGTACATGTAAGCCATGGGTTTGGAGTTGGTCTAATTTCTGATGCTCACACATGTGGTAAAGGAGTTTGGGGGGTTTTAGATGTTCCTTTTTTTCCTTCTGTTGTCTCAACACCACCACCAAGCCCAAATTTAGATAAGCCACTTACTTCCACCATGCTAAGTTTTGTTATATTGGTTGCTTTCTGAAGGTAATAGCAAAATAGTACACAAAGAGTGCCACAAACCTTTTTTTTTTTTTTTTTTAACTGAAAAGGTTACAAATGTGAAACTTAACCAAAACGAAGTTAAAATCTTACAAGAAAAGTAGTGTTGAAAACAAGGTGATAAATCAGTTGAGCTTTTTTTCTTTCCGTAACTGGCTGGGGCAGGGAAACCTTTTGACTAATCAGTCAAATTTTTTCATTAACGCCCTTTAAGTGTGCCAGTCCTACCACCACCCGTATCCAGAAGACAAATGGTATCCTTTATACCTGAGTAGTGAAATGAGATGCATTTGAGGTGAGGTGTCTGTTCCAAATAGAGGTACTCAGAAGTTTAAAGCCAGATGTTTGCTAACGGGGAGCCAGTATTCTGCTGTGGATTTTCATGGGACTGGACTGGGATGGTTTACACCAGATGAAGACCTGGGGCTTCGTACATACATATATGACTTATTTCACCCTCACGCTTAGGAAAAAGGAAGTTTTATGGTAATTAGCAGATGGATTGTAACACAACGACTTGTAGTTTTCTGGAATGTAAAGGAAGCAGCTAGTAACTTCAGACCTTTGCACGGTAAAGACCAGTGATCTGCAATTAAAGTGCAGCCTGGCAATCTCCCTGCCTCCGAGCCTTGCCTCCCAGCACCCGTGAAGAGACAGGACCCCAGGTCCCTTCACACCCCATTGCACCCCCATGGCTGTGCCTGCAGCCCCCTGCAGAAAAAGGCTCCCTCCTACAGAACAGCTGCCCGGTTGTTGCGAATTAGGAGGGATGGCTTGCTCTTATCCTAACGGCCGAAGTTACAAATACATGGGGAGCAGGGCACCCCGGTCCCACTGACTCTCCTTTGGACTCAGGGGGTGCATGGTGCGTGTTTAACTCCCAAAGGTGAGTCTCCATACTTAGGATTTAAATGTCTTATTAGATACGTATCAGCAATAGCATTACATTCAAAGCGGCGAATAGCTGAATGATATTCCAGACAGGAAGAAATTAGCTTAAATTTGTTTCTGTCAGGCTGAGGGCATAGTGCCAGTGAATTTAGTGCTTGTTTAAGAGGGCAGTAGGGACAGAAGCCTCCTATTTCGACTTGTCAGCAAGAGAGACCCCTGTGACAGGTTCTGGATAGAGGCATAGTTTTGTTTGGCTTTGCGTGGGTCACTGAGCAGAGGCGTTGCAGAGAGCCTGCTGTCGGTGGTCAGGGCTGCCCCCTCAAACAGTTAAAACCTCACCTGGGCTCTGCAGAAGACATCTTTTTAGGAATAAAAAAAATGCACAGCAGCTAGGTCGCTGCATCACAGCTCCTCATTCCTGTTTCTTCCTCTTGTTGCTCTTTGCTTCCAGGAGGTTGGGTGGCAAACAGGTCTAGTGCTAAGCAAAGATTTAAGAGTGTTTTGATGTGGCTTGATGAGCTACGATGCGTAGGGAAACAGGAGGATGGCAAAATGCGTGTGCATGCGGGGGGACTGGTACATTTATTTGGACAAGAGCAAGCTACACTAGATAAGTGCCACCATCCATTGCACGCAAACATGCAAGATTGTTGACTCAGGTCCCCTAAAGTGAAAGGACAGTTGAGAACATTATGAAAGGTAAATATCCTACTTTTTCTTAATGTTTGGGCTAGTTCTTGTTTGCTTTCCTACCTAGAGCACTCAGGGCCCAAATTTGTCGAAGCTTCCTCTGAAAGCACAGTTGTCATGTATTTAGATGCTTGCTCATTTGAGCCATAACATAGGGTTTTCCTTTGATGACTCGTTTTTCTTTCCATCCCAAGAATCAGTTATTATTGTTATGGCTTTTCCTCTTTTCATGCACTGCACCCCGACCATTGAATACTCCTTGAATTTCCTCATCTTTCCTAAGCCACCAAATACAGTTAAGAGCAATGTATCAGATCTCTTGTTCCTGTTCTTTGATGGCCTTGATTGCCACCTGAGGTGTTTCCCAGTAACCAAATTCTCTTTCTAGAAAACCGTGTTTCTCTGGCTCCCGGGTACTGCAATGTTCTTCACATCACTGGGGTTCATAAGGTGTTTGGTGAAACGTTCTGTAGAAGTGTCAAGTACTGGTTGGCATTCTTGAAAAAGAGGCTGATCCCTACACCATTAAAACTAAGAATATGTTCTTGCAGGAACCAAGATGTCTTCGCTAAATGATGTCAGTATGGAAGAAATACCGCTGGAAGATGATGAGCGAGACAGCATAGAATACAAGATCCTAATGGCCTACGCCCAGCGGCGGTTGTCTGTCAGTAAATATTGGAAACTTCTGAAAAATGAGGCTAATGTGCAGAAATCAGCATCCCTAATGAAGAGAAGAACAAAGATTGACCATCAAAAGGATAAAGATGGATCAGTCCGAAGAGTAGTCTATCAAGGTGCCAGGACACAACAGGACAGCAAAAAGCAACCAAAAAGAAGACACTTGCCAGGATATTGTCTACCTTTACTCTGCACCAGAGCAGAGCAGAGCGAGCCACCAGTGCTGCCATCGCGCCAAGGTGGCACGGCAGGTTACTCCATTTCCAAGGCACAATTTGAGATCCGTCCACAAGGATATTCTCAGCATCAGAGAAGTACGTCTTAGTTCTTTCCTTTTACTGTTTGTCTTTTAATCTCTCTCTAAATAGCTGCAATGGCTGGTGGCCTGTGGAAAGGCAGGAGGAGCAAGGTGGTTTCTTTCACTTTTCAGTCACCTCTTATGCTAGCTTTATTGATTTCCAATTAGGAAGGCAGATTGCCAGATCTTTAGTAGTGCTTGCACACACAAGATTCATGCTTCTGACTGGCTTTTCTGTTTTCCATCATACGGTGGTAAGTATCGTATAATTGCATAGCTTGATTTTTTTCCGAGTGTTGGCTTTTTCTTTTTCATACCTGGTTAGAAAGAAAACATAAAACACTGGTCAGACTGAAGACCTCCACACTAAAATCAAGGAAGAGAAGTTGTTTGAAGACCTGCTTGAGGAGCTTTATCATGCAATAAATACTCCACACTAAAGACAGAAGTGCTAGATTCTGCTTGAAACTCTGGTGCCAAGCAGTTGGCAGTGACCAGCCTCAAGCAGAGAGCAGCCCATGTCTCTGGGCCACCCCCCATAACCCCACAACGTATCTTAAATGGAAACAGTCTTCCAGAGTTATGGAAGTCTCCTTTACACATTGCTATTATGTTAAGTCTGAGCCTGCCCTCCCATATGTTGGAAGAAGAGGTGAGGTAGGCGACTGTAATCCATCCGACATCCAGGGATCCCATCCACATAAACCTCTCGTACCCCAGCCCCCAAAGCCAGCCCCACATCAGATGCTGCACTGCCGGCAATGAGACTTTACCTTTTCTGCTCTGGATAATAACTAATACCTTAACTTCTCACACAACACTAAGAGAGGAGGATGAGGTATCCCCGTTAAGTTGCCATATACACTATATGATAGGTTGCCATATTGTCTTCATATACATAAGGTAGGGAGTTGTTTGTTTAATTTGTCCCAGCATGATACTGTTGGTGTCACAGCGATTGCTCTCCCCTTTCACTGCATTTAAAGATATTTCTAGAAATTACCGAGCACTGACTTCTCCAGCCTAATGCCCCATCCCTGATCAGTTTAAGTGTCCTGGGCCAGCTCACCACCCACCAAGCCCATAACTCCTCCTGCTGCCAAATCCAGCTCTGTCCCTCAAAAAAGGGTCCCTGCCTCAGCCCAGTGCCTTTTGCTAGGGGGAAATAACTATAACTTTCCATTGTTTGGTTGCCAGGGCAATATCTCTGCATCCAGATACCCATTTTTCCGTGTTTACACATTGCCAAGGAAAGCACCAGAGAGCTTGGGTGCAATCACTTGGTGGCCCTGACAATACATCGCCCATGTTCCTTGCAGCATGGGCGGCAGCGCGGCCTCGAGGTAAAACCTCTCCGTGCTGGGTGTTAACCTCCCTGGGGATCCAAATCTGGGCATTACCTGCCCTTCAGCAGATTGCTGCACCAATTCCTAAAGCATTATTATTATTATTTATCATTTATACTGCTAGTGGCTGCGCTGCAAGCTTGGCCAGGCCATTCGGGAGCAAATGGGGGTGCTTTGGGGATTACCTCTCTAAATCGAAGGCCTGTTCAATTTAAAACCAGTTCCCTAATCTTAGGTTTCCAAAGTCATGAACAACCCCATCTCCTTCCTAGAAGTTTAGCAGCCCCCTGACAAGCTTTGCAGGCAGATGAGGGGATGGAAATGTCTTAGGGGTGATTCACCAGCCTTGAAATGCAGTTTTTCTTGGCTGCATTAACCCCTGCTGCCTTCACAATAAACTCTGCTCATGAATTTTACACGCAGGAGCTGCCACTTGGCAGTGGTGGTGGGGAGATCAAGTTTTGCATCCCAGGCCCTGTGAGGCAAATTGTAAGGAAGAGCATCTTTTAGATGAAACAAACCTTGCAAAAGCTCCTCGTGCTGTCTTTGCTGTAGCAGGACCCTCGCTGGAGTGCCCTCACCGATCGACACCTTCATCCGGTGAGGGTCCTGAAGAGGGTCATTATGCAAGGTGGATAAAGCCAGTCCCGTTGCCGAGTTCTCCCAATGCTCATTGTCTGCTTAATACAACAACGTCAAGGACACGAGAAGCTTTTGTGCTAGAGGTGCCTCTGAAGCGAAGTCTGCTCCTCCTTTGCTCAGGATGAGCCTGTGAGAACAAGGAAAGAGCATTCAAATACGCAGTCTTTTCTGAATCTGGACCTATAGGTGAAGTAACCATGGCCAATACCACTAAGATCTAAGATTCACAGTCCTCTAGAGCAGTACTCTCACGTTTCTTTGTATACAATGTCCTTCTGCTTGCAAGGATGTATGCTAGTGAGCAACACTCACACTTGCTTCTGCACGCCTCTGTACGGCTAGCTGCTACTCGGATACTAGAGAGGGGTTGTACTGCCTTACTTGTTTCTCTAAATTACTACCAGTTGATCTCAAGAAATAACAAAGCCTCTGCATGGGGAAACGTTATCTCTTGGTATCCTCTGGGCACTTCCACCTCAGGGGGTACGTAAATGAGCAAATCACTGAATTATTTCCTGGAAAGATTAATTGCCTCCTTTATTTCCCACCCTCCTTCCCAATCAGGTGAAACAGCAGATGTCAACCACATTGCAGACAAACTTGCCAAGCTTGTTACTTCCAGATCCCAGCAATCTGCTTCAGATGTGTCATTCAGGACACTGTATCATGCCCCGTGTGAGGAACAAGACGATAGCGATCCTACTGATGCAACTGAGGGCGAGGAATACGGTAAGGATGAAGAATTTCATGCTCACAGGAAGTACGTTAGGTTGGGATTGCATTTTCTCTAGACATGGCGAAGCACTCGGGACTTCTGTGGGAAGATGCCGTGAAGGAGGAATTTTGCTCTCCTGGTTCTTGCTCTGTTGCCCACATTTTAGGGACTGCTCTTGCAGTCCTCTAACAAGTTCTGCCTGCTACTGCAATTAAAGGGAGCATCCTTAAAAATCCAGGGAGGTGTGGCAGGAGAAGAGGAGGATGAAGGCAATGATGTAAGGTGACAGAGCAGTGGCAGGAGTGGCAGGGCTGGGGGCAAAATAAGACACTGGGGCTCGAAGGCCAAAGACCAGGCGTTGGGCCCAAAATGTCTTGGTCAACCCCTCGCCGGTGACGGGACAACACTGCTCACCAACCTCCGTTACAAGTCTGAACTGCTCGTCTTCCATGATGTCTGCAGAGATTTGGTTTTAACGCAAGCTTTCTAGGGATTTCTGGTTACAAGGGGGGTCGATCCTGCCATACTTGCATTTTCTTTAATCCAACAAACCCAGAGCTTGCCCTAATGAATTGCAGAAGGTGTAAATGGTAATGATGAGAGGATTTTTTTTTTCCCTAATTTTAAGTCCATTTTCGTGGGCTTCTGCTAGCTGCTCTTTTGTTCTGGCTTGTTATCAGACATACCTCCAAGCCCAAAGGGCTGGCAGTGAGATGTTAAAGCCCCGGTTCCTTCCCAGATTCTTAACCAGAGCAAAACACTGGGCAGATGGAGAAATAGCATTGCTTACTCCATGCAGACTAGAACAGTGAGCTTCAGCGTAAAGCCTGAACGCAGACCTCTCTGAATTTGCCACAAACTAGCAGCTGTTTTCACGAGTAAGTGACTCAAAGGTTTTTGCTATCTGGATCCTACTACAAGGCTGCGATATTTACGTTACTCTTTTCTTTAACAGACGAAGAAAAGATAATACAAACAATAGTTTCACTGTTAAGACAATCAGGGGACAAACTTGAAGAAAAGGTAACTACTTCTGTTTTCAGGAGCTACACAGGCTACAGTGTGAGAGAGAGATCACACTTCTCTTGGGAGTGAATGTTTTGGAACCTGGCACACTCTGTCTCTATCCTGAACTTCTCTTTCCACATTTAGGGCTTTCTGAAACCTTCGCCACTCATCCTGAAACCTTTCTTACGACCAGAGGACTAGCAGAGATCTCTCTTGGGGTGCAGGAGGAAGGCAACAAAAATATTGTGCATTTCAAAGAGGAGCCACTTGCCTCATTCCCATTGAGTTTCATGGGACGTTGAACCCTCGACTGACTCCGAGAAACTCTTGTGTTTGCATTAAATTTGGCATATAAGTTGTTCCCAGCGGAGGGAGGGAAACTCTACAGCTTTGAGAGCTGCTGTAAAAAAAAGAGTGTATTTTGAAAGCCCTGCCCAAAAGCTACAGAAGAACCCCCACGTGAGTCCGTTAGTTGGAGTGGATGTTTTCTCTATTAAAAAGACAGGTTCTTGTTCCCTTTACTCCCTTCTTTAGCTGCCCCTTCTGCTCTATAAAGGTATGCTGCAACATGGAGGGCATGCTCAGCTCCTGCAGCCGAGAGGTACCCAGGTACAGTAAGAAGCATCACAAGGACCACGACTGAGCACAAGGAGCTTAGCACGGTAGCTGTTGCCAGCACTTCTCATAACCTCACCTTTACTGTCATCTTCCCACTGCTCCTGTGCTCCCGTGTCTCCTCACCTGCAGGTCTCAGCATCAGTGTCACATTTGTTTTGCTTTCTCTCGCTCTGCTTCTCTCATTCAAATGCAAAGAAAATGAAGATTTTTTTTTTTTTTTTTTGAGAAAAAACATAGAGCCAACCCCAGAGCCTGAAGGAGCAGCTTTGCAGTGAGTTGTGGTGTTCATGTGTCATCTCTTGCATTCTCCACCACGATTAGACTATATTGCATGTACGCTCTCCTTTCGCAGTGAGATGGGGAAAGCAGTTCCAACAAAAGTGGCTCAGTTTAACCAATCCTTATTCTTATTTTCAGATCAAAAAGGACAGGGTTTTATATCAGCATTTTAAAGACATGCTGTCCTATACCTTCTTCAAGAGGATCACTGATTTGTTCCTGAAGGATGTCTCAGCAGATTCAACAAGTAAGCCAGGAAGCCAAGTACAATGCAGGAAAGTTGCCTTTACAATGGAAGTCGCCACCAGACTTACCGCTGTGGACAACCATCCTATGAACCTGGTCTTGGGCTTCGGATTAAAGTACCTCAGAGAACACTTCAAGCCGTGGATTCAGGACCAGGGTGGCTGGGTATGTGTTTTGCTTCCCTTGACTTGGCATAGCCTAAAGCACCTTGAAGCAACACACTTTCGCAGAACTAACACGGGCCAGATGCAAACCAAACCAAACTGAATATTCTTTAACACAGCACGTACTCCAGCTGTGGAATTACTTGCTACAAGACATCTTCTATGCTGCAAGTTTTTTATTTACATAGGTCTAAAAATCAATGGGAGACATTCATGGAGGGTTGTTAAGTATAAAACACCGCTCCCAGCACAGCCAGCCTCTCCACCACGAATAGCTGAAGGCTGGGAGGAACACCAGGGAACTTCACGCTTGCCCTAATCCCATACTTCTCCCTAGAAGTGTGCTGTTGGCAGGTTCTGGGGACAGCATAGGAGTTCAGCAGTTCATACAGTCTGCCCTTATGGTGCGGTATGCTTCCACTTACCTCGTAGACAAAGGCATCTGTTTATCTCCATACCCGTCTTTCAAAGTCAGTCGTGCAAGGTGCTCTTTTGCCAGTAGCAGTGCTGAGCCGCTGCCCTGCGTGGCTCACTTACCTGGATTTGCTGGGAGGCACTTACATTGGAGATCCGAGTCCTTTTGTGCTTCATGAAATGAATGGAAACATTCAGCAGCTGTACGGCCTGTGTCCGTTGGAATAGATAGCATGTGAGGTCAGGAAATCCTACTGGCAAACCTACTGACTGACCTCAGCAGAGTTGAAATTATGATGGAGGTCCACATTGCTTTTATAATAATAAATTTTCTTTCTATGTTACAGGAGAAGGCTTTGACTTCACTGGATGAGGAAGAAGTAGAGTAATCGTGACTGAATTAATGCTTCAGGGTGCAGGAGCCTTCAATTAAGGAACACGCAGGATCTTACCACAGTCTGATGCCAGAATGATTAGTGGCTATGTATTTTTATTTTTTTCCATGGAAGGCTGAAGTGTTGCATGGCGAACTCTGATGAGTACAATTGCACTTTCTTAAAGTTGGTATTGATGTAGAAGTGTTCTTCAGGGAATATGAAGGCACGTTCAACTCCCCTGGAACATTCAGCCCCATGGATAGTGATTTTAGGTACCTTTCTGAGTAGAGATGCTTGCCACTACTCCTATGGATGGATGTTAAAGTGCAAACTGGAGGAAAATACCAAAAGTATGCAATCAAGAACTGTGGAACTGTGACCAGCCATCAACCAAGCGAGACAAGTGCTGCCAGCTTGGTGTGCTTCACAGTGGTACCGTCTGTTATCAATTCCACAGGCCCTTCTTAGAAGACATATCTGCACATTGCTATCGGTTCCCTCTCCCCCCTTACTTCTCTGATTAGGTTTTCTGACGTATTGATGCCATTTTATACTTCTGAAAGGAACTGAGTAAGGTTAATGAGGGCTTTTTACTCCAGTGCCTTTCCCATTCCCCCAAGAGAATAGACTTAATCTACCTACAGATGCTTTTAATTGGAATTCTTCTGTTTTAAACCCCTTCAAAGCATAGCACAATAGATGTTGACTTTTACAGCATTATTTTGGCCATTAATGTGCATGATACAAACATTGAGAGCTTTGTAGTCCAAGAAATTTAAAACTTATCCTACCGTGTCCTCCTTATTCAAAAGGAGCTCCATGCTATGTGTAAACTCAGGGATTTCTCCATAAACTGAACTGGCCCTTCAGCCATTGAAAACAAGTGATCTGATTAGAGTTCTTGCATCCGTACGTGTGGCAGTGGAAGGAACAGCAGTACATCGTTTAGAGTAGAGGCAGATGCCAGTGAAACTGTTCAGGAGTTTGAGGCTTGGTTTGTGGCCCATTTAGTTGATGACTTTTGGATTTCTGTCCCCTGCAAATCCCCAGCGGAGAAAGAGGGAACTTGGGACATCTGCTGAAGCCATAAAACCATGGCATCGCTTCGGTGACTTTCCGGTACAAAGAGGTAATGTTTCCTGAACAGGCTCTCTGCCTCTCAGTAAGATACCCTTCCATTACGGGTGCTCATTCTGTGTGTACAAGTACATTAACTACAAAGATTGCACGAAGTTGTTACTAATAAATCATGAATTTGAATGCAAGTGATAAAAAGCATTTTAACCAGATGTGTAAAATATGCAACGCTATCAAAAATCAAGTATTTTTCTAATAAACCTTAAATTTGCAACTCACGCGTAGCAAACTCTGCCTCTGTTTGGGCATGTATGTGTGAAACAAAAGACGGAGAAGGTGGAAGCGAGTTACCTCTGTTTCCCTTCTTCAAAGGAGCTAGGAAATACTTGATGTATCTCTAGGCTGTAAATCTAAGATGCCCTTAGTTTTAGGAACATTCACTCTTTCTGGTCATATCAGATATCCCCAAAGGGGGATAGTTTGTGGGGGAGAGGCAAGAACTTCCTCCAAAGTTCAAACTGTTGTTCTTCTCCTTCCGTCTCGTTCTCCAACATCTTTTTTCTATGGAAAAAAAGAAAAATTGTGAGGCGTTGTACCCTCCCACACATTGGAGGCTGCTGCTTTATTAGAAATTTGATTGGTTTCTAAAGCAGGCTCGTTAGCTAGATCTTGGCTCTGAAGAACTAGACCTGATTCCATTCTAATTACAGTAAGACTAGGCTCAGTCTGCTAGCGTGCACCAGTTTGCCATTAGTTGGGCGCTAGCTTATGGAAGTCACTTTTTAAATTTTCTCTGCTCGAATAACAGTCTGCTATTTAGTGAGGTGCAAATTCTGTGTTTGTGAGCGTGGTTTTCCAGCTGAAGGTTTAGCAGCCCCAAAACCCACACTTGTCCCTCATCCCCAGTTTGGTACCTCAGGGCCAGTTTCATGCCAAGAGCGGAGCCAACAGCAAAACAAACCGTCTTCAATGGAAATGCGAAAATGAGCCATCTGAGAAAAGATATTCAGCTGGTTTTTATTTTTCTCTGGGCTGTTAAGAGGGATTTTTTTTTTTCAGTAGCAGTAGGGGCCAGCATAGGAAATCAGCCAAGCGAGCTGTTTCTTATTTAGTCATTCTTACATTTGTCATCCGCATCAGTTCGATTTTAAGAGCAATCCGCTCCTTTTATGGCAGGGATCTGTGGTAACCTCCTTGCTGCAACGATGGCTTTGGTTTATTCTAAGAGCAGTCAGCAAGGCTGAGCACCGAGCTGTTGCCACTGCTGCTGCCTGGCACGAATTACCAAAGCTCTGCTGCTGGCTCAACCAGTCTCCATCTTGCTGTCTTTTTTTAATCTGTGATGACTAAACTAGCAGCAGACATATGCGTGTGCTGTGGGTGCGTATGGAAGCGGAAGGGATGTCGCGAGGGAGGGTGACTGGCCATGCCTTCATTTTACATTAATCTCTCACAAGACATCTTTATTTATCTCTGTTTAGCTGTAGGACTCTCTGCTGCCATTTTGAGGTGTTACTGTAAAAGATAGAGAGGTTTACTGTAAAACAAGAAGTGTTGCTTGGGATTTTTCTTACTGTATATCTATCCAGGTTAACCTCACGCTATTTGTTCTATCAGCAAGTTTAATTTTAGAATGAGCTGATTTCATGGTGCGTTAAGGTTGCAACAAGAAGAGTTTAGCCCTGTGCAGGTGATGCTGGGATTTATTTTTGAAGGATGCTAGAAATGTCCTGCGGCTGCCTTCTGTGCTGTGCGAAAGGGAGCTGGTCCACTGGGGCAGCCTGGGTTAGCACCTGGGAGCTGCCATCCCAGCCTAACGTCACCCTCCGAGAGCCGGGGCTCCAGGCAGGGAGTGGGACCTGTCCCGGCTGCTGTTCCCTGGAGCAGCTAAAGCATCTGATCAGAAGATCCCACCATCCGTGTGCACACGGGTTGCACAAAGGAGCTCTGCCCCAGCTCATGGCCGCAGCGTCCCTCGCTCCAGTGAGTAAGCAGGAGGCAGAAATAGTAGAAAAGAGTCTGGAGGCTTTGCCCAAACCCAGACATTGTACTTGTCTGTTACTTACCTTTGCTTCAGCTCTCAGAGGGCTAGACTGCTTTCAGCTCTCATGGAATGCAGGCAAATCCAGTATTTCTCCAAAACAGGCTGATGAGGCATCTTGGATCTTCTCACGGCATCGCATCGTCTCCCTCTTTTTAAGCTGCTTCTCCTTCCTCTCCTTCCCGCGGGTGAGTAGCGTGTTACTACTACAGATACACACATTTGAGTAGGCATAAAAGCAGCAGGTGGACAGAAAGTGAATTGTAGCGAAGGACGGAGGGGAACAGCTCAATAGACACCATTGTCTGAAAAGTGGATTTATTGCCTATGACTTGTCTGCTGTAAAGGCTCACAACCTGGAACAAGCTCAGGATTCAAAGTTCACAGCTGGGGCATTGTAGTGTGAGTGAAGGGTGAGAACTCAGCAGAAAACATTAAAGCTGATTGCCGGGCTTGTTTGTTATCTGCGGCTGGGATGGGGTAAACCCCAGAAGAGAGAGAGAAGTGCTAGCACTGTTGCAGGATGCCTAGCACAGCAGGTTGTGGGGTGGGGTTAGGAGATGTTCTGGGACCGGAGCTACAGCCATCCATCCTAGTCAACCCACAGAGAAGGTTTCTCCTGTGTCCCGTCACTCTCTCCACTGCGTATCTCCTGCAGGCAAAGCAGAAAGTTTTTTGCTGTGCAGATGCAGAGATGATGCATTTTCCTGCCTGGGGTGGTAGAAATGATGGGTAGCAAAAAGATTTCTTGCTGGAGTCAGCATATGATCTCTATGCTGACTTTCATGATAGTCTTCCCCTCGTCTTTCTACCCCAGCGCCACTTTTGGCAGATCCATGCCAAACCTCTTACCTCTTCTCTAAGGGGAAGCTCAGATGCTTCCCAGCCAAAGTTAGCATGCTAAAAGGGAAACCAACCAGGTTCATCACTGGATGCTGGAGGGAGATGGGACTTAAGTTTTTAGAAGTTAAACACCCAAAGTGGAACTTTCTGTCTGCCACTGCAGTGGTTCTGCTTTAAATATTCATTACACAGCACTGCGTCGGAAAATTTGGGTTATGCCTATGTTATCTTCCCTAGAGATCTGAACATGAATACTCTTGCGTGCCGGCTAGCTCTTCTAACCCCCGTCAGTGTGGATACTACTACCTCTTGGATAATACCACCAGTATTATCCTCTCCACTCCCCCCCAACCTGAAACAATATATCCAGGGAAGCATCTGCTAAACTGGTCCTGTTTGCTGCACGGGCAAGAGGACAGCCAGCCGGTACCAAGAAACTCATCACCGCTCAGACTGAGGGCTCTGCTCGTCTCTGGTGGCAGAAATGCAGGCAAGTATGGGACTATTTTTGTTAAGCAAGGCCTGAAGGAAGTCTTTGGTGATGCCAGCGGCGACTAAATATTCAGTGCAGGTACCTGCAGGGAAATTAAAGTCTTTTGGTGGGTCAAGGCTCCAGAACCAGCCAGAGGCATGGATATGGACTGTACTGGGATACAGGAAAAGCATACACATGGTCTGTATTTAGAGTAGCTGTGTGTACCTGGCTTCAGCTGGCTTGGACTTTTTTTTCCTTCCTTGAACTTGGGTGTCTTTGCACCTTAGGAGAGGTGTCTTCCTTTGAGCACCTGGGTTATAAAGATTTTCTGTGGGGCAGGGGATACGGGAATTGCTTCAGGCATTATCATCATGTTAAGCATCAGAGCAAAGGTGAGGGTGACCTTGTGACTGACCTTCTCTGGCGAAGCTACCGAAGGTTGTTAGTAGCAGCCAAGTCTTGTGCTTTGCCTTGCCAACCCCAACATCAAAAAGCCCTGAGTGAGCACCTCAGCCTCTCCCAGAAAAGCCCTGAAAGATGAACCCCCTCAGGTGGTGTTCTGGGGTATTCAAAATT